ATGTCTCTGTACTATTTTTATGTGCTGCACTACAAATTGTTTGTGAAGGAGTAAATTAACTTGTCACACACAGACATAAGCACTAGTAAATCTTATTTGCTGCACATGCTAACACCTTTTTTTTTTTAAGGACTATTTACAATCCAAAAGACAGCCACATCTGCTTGTAATTAATTATTAAATGGAGTCATCTGGTAAGTCAGTGATTGGACAACAGCGTCTACATGACTAATTAAGGGGAAGTCATTTCTGCATTTAATTAATTCATAATTGCCACTGAGCTCCATGCCAATGCACCTGCGCTCCAAACATAACATGTCATGTTTAGGTCTTTATATAATCACCAGCCAGGACCTGCATTGATAAATGAAAATGCATGAAGGGGTCATGTAACTAAATTGATCAAAATATAATAATATTACCTAAATATATGATTCAGAAAAGGTTTATTTTCATTCAACCAATCAATGAATAAATAATTTGAAGGAATATTTATATCCAAAATATTTAAATTAATACATATGTATTAATATTTATGGATTTTTTTTTTAATTACAGAACCTCAGCATTTACATTATAGAGCTGGGAGGGGTTGTACATGGTTTGGATGTTGGGAGGACAAATATTAATTCAATTAATCCTACAAAAACACAGAAAAGATTCATTAAACTCTTTAATCATCAGTTTTTATGGTAACGTTATACCATGAAATGGCTGAATTCATTTGATTATAAAATTCGAAAGCAGATATTTCTCACATTGATTAGGATTGCGAGTTATGACTGAAGATGGCTGTGGATTTGTATTGTTGCTTGTGATGGCAGGGACAGAACTCCTTGCAGTGATTTAGACTGAATACCAAATATGAACATTATTTTAGTTTGACACGTCAGTGTAATCATCTCCAGCTTTGATCTGAAGTGGGTAAAAACAGAAGCTCCACTGTCTGACTTAATGCTCTTTAATGTCAGGACTACAAAAATGCTGCTGCATATTCTATGTACTGCAGAATTGCTTTACTATTAATCATCAGCAGATGACGCCGTTTCTGTTCTGCACTAAACTTGGACCAACTACTGTGGGATTGTCGTGCATGGATAAATGCTACCAATGTATGGACTGATGATTAGGTGCAGATGTAAGCAGTAAAGTCAGTGTTAATACCCAGCAAGAACAAAGATTCAGTTTTACCTTTGATGTCTGTCATGTCAAAACTAGACTGATGACTTTTGATGCATCAGGTCAGTCCCAATACTTCAGCAAAACTCAAAACTCTTGTTTAAAGATGTCAAGTTAAACGTATTGTTGTTATTATTATTATTTGCATAATCAAGATTTCCACTTTACTTATAAAGAGCTTTGTTTTATATGTTTGACCTAATCTAATATCCAAATATCGATCTCTATCAAGCCCTCCCCTTTTGAAATCTTTTAACCAATCAAATTCTCAAATATCACAGCGTTGTTACTGATTGGTCAGTGAGCGGCGACAAATATCCGTGCACTCTTTAAATCTCCCTCTGTTCTGATATGAGCTTTTGCAACACTTTATATGCATATTAAAAAGTAAAAGGTCGTGTGTTGTAATTATCAAGTTGTTTCTTTGTTTTTATTAAATACTGAACATAGAAAAAAAAATGGTTGAGCAATTCGTTGGTAAATGGAAAATGACTTCAAGTGACAATTTTGATGAATACATGAAGGCTGTAGGTAAGACAGAATATACAATAATGTTATATATATATATATACATATATATATATATATATATATATATATATATATACACACACACATAAAATCATATATAACATATATGTTTAATCAATCAAGATGCAATTTTTTTTTGTCCAGTTGTATTACAGTCATATACCTGTTGAAAATAAATACCAGCAATGGCATTGTCTGTACTGTATTTCAGGCAAAATATTTGTATTTGTACACAGGTGCTGGTTTTGCTTCAAGGCAAATGGCTAACCTAGCGAAACCCAGTCTGTCGATTGCTGTGGATGAGCAGGGGTTCGTCTCCATGAAAGCTGTCACTACCTTCAAAACCCTGGAAATCAAATTTCAATTAGATGAAGAATTTGATGAGACAACAGCAGATGACAGGAAAGTCAGGGTAAGGGTTACAAAATAAATAAATAAGCAAACCAGCAAATACATAAAGTAAATTAATATTTTTTACTGTATTTAAAAAGTGTGTGTGTGTCTAGTTTATTATTTTTAAGCATAATTACATTTCCCTTTATTCCTTAATTCACTTCAGACTACTGTGAGCCTTGTAGATGGTAAACTAATTCAGAAGCAGACCTGGGAGGGGAAGACCACAATAATTGAAAGAGAGATTCAAGACTCCAAAATGATAGCGGTATGTGTACAAGCCATCTACACAATATTAAAACAAATGTTTTATTTACCTACGTATTCAAAAAAAGAAAAAATGAATTTGACCTTTTATTTGATTTTATTGCAAACTGGCTTTTCAGTGCTGCATCCATTGTTCAGCATGCTGCTAATCTCTCTCTCTCTCTCTCTCTCTCGCTTTCTTCAGAAATGTATCATGGATGATGTGGTTGCTATCAGGACATATGAAAAAGATGTGTGATGAAAGATGCACAAACTTTGGGCTTCAAGACAGATTAAAGGCCTCATTAGATTTTAATATGGTTGAATTTGACTGATTTGATGTGAAATATGAATTGCTTGGTTGCAATAATTTTTTTTTGCTTTATAAACATAATAAAATAATAAAAAAAGAAAAAATGTCTCTTCACTCATTGGATATAAACATTTTGTTCCTATATGTGACCCTGGAGCACAAAACCAGTCTTAAGTCGCTGGGGTATATTTGTAGCAATAGTCAAAAAAACATTGTATGGGTCAAAATTATCGATTTTTCTTTTATGCCAAAAATCATTAGGATATTAACTAAAGATAATGTTCCATGATGATATTTTGTAAATTTCCTACTGTAAATACATCAAAACCTAATTTTTGATTAGTAATATGCATTGCTAAGAACTTCATTTGGACAACTTTAAAGGTGATTTTCTCAGTATTTAGATTTTTTAGCACCCTCAGATTCCAGATATTCAAATAGTTGTATCTCGGCCGAATATTGTCCTATCATAACAAACCATACATCAAAGAAAAGCTTATTTATTCAGCTTTCATATGATGTATAAATCTCAATTTCGAGAAATAGACCCCTATGACTGGTTTTGTGCTCCAGGGTCACATATAAGAATGAAATAAGTGACCTAAGAGCTGAGGAATTGGAAAATAATTACATGAAATTACAAGCTGAATAACATTATTACATCACACAGCATAACTTAACATAATTATAATTAGATAACACAATAGCAGACACTTTCATTTATATTTGGATCCAATAAGGTGCTAATCACTAAGCTTACAAGAAAGTATAGCTCTACAAGTTCATTAGTCAATGCAGATTTCACATTCTCTCCTCAGACTGTCCTTAGGTTTCTCCTAAGGCAGCCAAAGCAACATTGCCGCTCTAGAATAAATATAGCTACAATTGCTATTAAACTGCAATTGCCATGCAGCATGTTAGTAAGGTGTGTGCTGCTACACAGCAGTACAGGACTACGGGCCTGCAGAACGTCCCACACTGTTTCCCATGCAAAATTATTTCCATTAATCTGTGGTATAAACTTCAAACAGCCTAAAATTGACCTCAAATGGCTGCCATGGCAAGACGCTTGACATCCAATCGCAACCGTAAAAAGATATCATCCGAGCAGCATTCATCACCACCTCCTAGTGCCCGGTGAACATGTGATGTGTTAATCCTCAGCAGTCCAGTTCACAATAGTTTCCTGAGTCTAATAACCTCAATACCTCCAGGATTAGCACTACTTTAGCAGCTGGAGTGGCTGACCATGCGCTCCTTGCAAACTTCTGCTTCTAAAATATACATTCCTCTTTTGTGATCCTAATCTTACTGAGCATTATAATGCAATTTATATTAAAGCATGTGGTGTGAAAGAGGATTTTGCTTTATTTATAAAGATTAATATGCATTCAGCAGGATTGAAAGTATAATTTGACCAAATAATGTTTTAGGAGAAGCAGCAAGAATTGTACATTGACTTTTAATTAGCTTTCTGGAAACCAATATTTTATTATTATTAAAGGGTCATGATATTGTTTTTATATAATAATAATAATAATAATAATAATAGTTATATAATAATTATATAATATATAATAATAATCAGTGTTA